CACTTTCTTAGCTGGCAAGAATGGTTCCCTGCCCGGGGAATTGGCCCTGCTCCATCCGCGCAACACTCTTGGCTTGAGCAGGCCGCTCACATGCTCAAGGAAGCTGTCACATCCCAGGGAAATCCCACCAAAGCAGCAGCATTTTGCAGTCCTTGCCTATTGCTTGCCCTCATGGCTGTATTGTACCCCTTTTTCCTTACAGCCGTGAGTCTCTTCACTGTCCCTGTTACACACCTAGGTTTGTAGGGGACCAGCCCAGGAGCGCAGCGCAAGGCAGGTGAGCACATGGGATGTGCATGGTGGCGTGTAGGTAGCATATCCATGAGTGTATAAAGCCCATGTACATGTAAGAGCATGTGTGCTTCACGTGGAGGATGTCAGGGCTGTGTGTGTATGTACAAGGGCATGAGGTGTCTGAGGATATCTGTGTCTCTGGGGTGTGGAAATTTGATGGTTTTCCCTCAAACCATTTCACATCGTCACGTTCCACATAGGGTGAACAGGCTCTGTGTCTGTGCCCAGTGAATCATGTATAAAGAGACAGAAAGGGTGAAAAAAGCAGGGGTTTTTTCCTCCAAATTGTTTATTCTCCAGAATCCTGATTTTACACATGAAGAACCAAGTTCCACCATCGTCAAGTGCTAAGAAACTGAGCCACCCTTGCATAAATAACACCACTATCCACAGGAGAAAACACTGCCTATACAATATGATAATTTCTTAAATAATTTTAAATAATCTAACAGTAGCGGTGCATTGGCCCTCCCAGGCCGCAGGCGGGGTCATCAGGGTGGTCGTGGGTCACGGTACAGGCTGGCCTGTGCCAGCAGAGGGCACGTGGCAGTACCCAGGCCATGGGCTCCTTCCTGTAGTCACCTTGGAGCTGCATACAGATGACATGGGCTCACACTGCCCCTTCCACCTCGTCATCCTGCCCTATCGTAGGAGCTTGGGATAACGTGACTCATTCATGACAGCAGCTACGGTTGTGATCTTGCTCTTCTCAGTTCTGCTTCGAGTTTCGCAGATAACTTTGAACCCAGGAGTCACTGGGGTTGGCACAGACTGCAAGGCCTTTCTTGGTGACAAACCTGTGGAGCATGAATGAGAGGTGTTGGATTTCTCCTTAGACCTGGATCCTAAGAAAGCCAGTTGCTCCAGAGCATAGCAGGAGCTTTTCCCCTGTTGCCTGAGTTGATGCTAAAACCAGGACCTGGCTGAGATTTCCTCTCTCCCCACAGTGCCTTCTCAAATCTCTGTACACTCCAGGGAGCCCCAGCACAAGCATCCTAGGAAATCCCTGCACAAGCATCCCTGGGAGTCCCTGTGCAATCTCTCTTCCCTAGAGTTGCCTAATGCCCTGCTTGCAGATGAGATGTCATTTAATCCGTTCCTATAGACCCCCTCAACCACGGCAATGCTGCAAAGCGCAGGGCACCACAGCCAGCCGTTCCTACAAGCATACCCAAAGCAGCTGTCCCCACACCAGCACCTTCTGTCTGCCCCGGGACTCGGAGTTGGTACTCACACAACGGCGGGCAGGGAGCAATTGCTGCTGGTGCTGTAATGACGTGAGATGAGTTTCCTCGGGAGCTTGCGAGACGTGTAAGAGTAGCAGCAGTTTGGGAGGTCAGGTCCATCTGGAAGTGCCAGGGAGAAGCAATGTGAGTGCATGCTGAGCTCCGGGCCAGAAGCAATGCTGGCAGAGAATGGAGTGAGGAATTACTGAATAACTAGGGCCGAAAGGGATGTTGCAGGTCATCTGATCCAATGCCAGCAGCAGCAAGCAAATACTGGGAGAGAGTCCCTTTTGCTCATGGCTCAGACCTTCATTTCCTATCTCCCCCAGCCCCAAGACAGGAGACTAAAGTCCCTAAAACTCAATCAGGAATAAGCATAAAGGCTCTGAGCTCCGGACAGCTGGACAGGTGAATAGATTATGGATGGACGGATGGGCAGATGGAGGAATGGATGGATGGGTGGATGGATGATTTTCTTAGAAGAAGCGTTTTAAGTGTAGCTGATCTCAATGCAGAGTGAAGAATGCAAAAAAGGCGGAAGCATTGCCAGGTAAGTGACAGAGAAGCTCTGTATAGAAAAAGTAAAGAGGGCTCAAATCAGTTCTTCCTTCATAAATGCAAGAGGCAGGACTCACCTGGGGCAGCGAAGGTCTGAGAGCAAGAGGCAGCAATGAGAAGAGCAATAAAAACAGCCACAGAGACCTTCATCTTCCTCTCAGTCCAGGACAATCACAGTAAGATGAGTAGCTCCAGCAGACACAGCTTGCACTGCAGTATGTGAGTATCTGGATTCAGCTTTTCCCTTTTTATTAGGGAGTCCTGGAATCAGCAGGGAGAAGCCCAGGCGGAAATTCCAAAATGATGTCAGAAACTGTCACATAAGTGAAACAGCAAGAAGAAAAAAAAAAAAAGAAGAAGCAAAAAAAAAGGGATATGGTTTATATTTGAGCCAAGTATGTGGATTCAGCCAAGTCTGACTCAGCAGCTTAGTTTGATTTTATCAAATGAAAAGGAAACCAAACTGGGCTAAGTGACATGGCCACATAAAAGAACTCTTCAGCTAGACTACCCAAGGGATTTTCCCTGAGAGTTTGTATATAGAAGCAAAACATTTGCTTATGATAATGATGCAATCCTGGAAAACAGAAAGGGAAAAAAGAAAGGGAAAAAGAAAAGAGGGAAAAAAAAAAAGGACAAGCAGGCTGTGCTCTCGTGCTGTTGTGCCCTGGGTGGTTATCGGAGGTCTGCTAAACTTCAGCACATGGAGCTGAGCAGTGGCTGGGCTGTGGGCTCTGTGCTGTTTCAAGCACTAGACCTCTGCCAGTCCCACTATGTCTGGCTCAACCCAGAATCAAGGAGCTGCTGAAGCTGGAAGGCACCATTGGAGACTGTCTATTCCAAACCCCTATTTCTATTGACTTCTCAGATAAAGCAGGTTTCCCAAGACCATGTCCTGTTTTTGAATAAGAACTCCACAATGTCTCTGGTCAACTGATTCCAGTATTTGATCCACCTTACTATAAAGAAGCTTTTTCTTATGCTTAAACAGGATTTCCTGTATTTTAATTTGTCTCCCTTGCCTGTTGTCCGGGCCCTGACTATCACTAAGTGCTTGGCCACATCCTCTTTATACCCTTCCTTCAGATGTTTATATACATTGATACAAACCCCCTTGAGTCCTCCCCAGGCTAAAGAGTCCCAGTTCCCCCAGTCTCTCCTCATATGAGAGATACTCCAGTGCCTTCATCATCTCTATGACCCTTTGCTGGACTTACTCCAGTAAATTCCAGTTGGTCTTGTGCTGAGGACTCTCCAGAAGCAGCCTCACCAAGGCTGAGTAGAAGGGAAGGATCATCTCCCTCGACCTGCTGGCAATGCTCTGCCTAACGCAGCCCAGGATGTTGCGGGTGCCTCTGCCACGAGGGTGCATTGCTGGCCCATGTTCAACTTGCCATCCACCAGGACCCCATGGGTCCTTTCCTGCAAAGCTGCTTTTGGGATGATTAGTCCTCAGCTTGTGATGATGCAAGGGACCATTCCTCCCCAGGTGCAGGATTTTGCATTTCTCTTTATCGTACTTCATGAGTTTTCTCTCAAGTCGTTTCTCCAGCCTCCGGAGGTCCCTCTGAAGAGCAGCACAGCCATCTACTGTATCGGTCACTCCTCCCAAATTTGTATCATCATTAAACTTGCTGAACGTGCACTCTGTCCCATCACAGAGGTCATTGATGAAGAGACTAAAAGGTATTGGCTCCAGTATTGACTCCTGAAGTACACCACTAACAACTGGCCTGCAGCTGAACCTCCTGACACTGAGGGGATATAACCCATAACTGAGGGTTATCTTCATGGTGCTGGTGGAGCTTCTGCTGTCACAGATCTCGGTCCCTTCAGGAGAACAAGGGATTCACTGGAAGAGACAGTGTACCGCACCTGAAATATTTTGCAGATCTGAACCTTTCCTTCTAAAAGTTTCCTTGAGCACAGAATGGATTTTCTGGCTAAAAGGTGAGAAATGAGTGGTAGAGGACCTGCCTGGCACAGGACAGTTTCACGTCTCAGGTCTCCAGCACTGGAGCAGTGAAGGAGCAATGCCGCAGCTCAGGGTAGACCTGCCATGACCTTGGCCCTGGCAGTGGGGCAGGGCAGCAGCTCTGCAGGAAAGCCAGGTAATTCAGAGATTCCTAATGGAAGGACCATGATCAAGGGCACCTGAGGGTACAGTTAGGGTACAGGATTAGGTGCTCCTGCTCTGCTGCAGAGAGGAGGCTCAGGCCTGTGGGTGGGCTCCTGGGCCATGGTGAGGCTTTCTGGGCAGTGTCTTATGGGCAGGGAAGGTGCTCCCCTTCAGCAGATTCACAGCACTGGCACCTTCCTTTTTCCATCTTTATAGGTTTCCACATCATCAAGAACCCACATTTTCACCACCAGTGTTACAAATCCCCTGCTTAGCTTCCCTGGGGCCTGAATCAGCTCCTCTCATACGCACTCTGCTCAGAAAGAACATATGGGGGCCTGACACAGGTAATAATCTGCTCCACTGCACACTTACACCTGCAGGGAGGAGGGCTTGGATCCCTTTTGCTCTCCTTCTTCCCACCCTGCTTAGCTTCCTTGGGGCCTGAATCAGCTCCTCTCATATGCACTCTGCTCAGAAAGAACATCTGGGGGCCCTGACATAGGTAATAATCTGCTCCACTGCACACTTACACCTGCAGGGAGGAGGGCTTGGATCCCTTTTGCTCTCCTTCTTCCCTGCATGCTCCAATCCTGCGCTAAAATTTAGGGGGCCGGTGCCACAGGCTACGGCAGGCACCGTCACTGCAGGTGCAAGCTCACCACACCATGGGGCAGGTGCAAGCCTAGCACGGCTAAGAGTGTGTTTTGGTCAGGGCTAAAGGCAGAGTCACAGCAGTAGCTGTAAGGCCTCACACAGATGTCAAAGAAGGTTTGAGTTGGATTTTGACAAATTCACGGCACACCCTGGCAAGGTCCTGCTTTCCCTAAGTAAGTCTGAGCAGCTCCAGGAAGGGGTATGTCACAGAATAAGAAGTAGTTCCAGCTTTCATGTGAAATGCTGTAGAAAAAGCCAAACCATGGCATTTTTTTTTACGGAAATAAGTTATATAAAAAACATAACTGTGAGCTTTCTGTTCCCTTAACTTTCAACTCACATATTAATATGTACATGGGGAAATGACAAATAAAGACTGCGGCTTTGCACTCATTTTACATGGCCAACAGGGAGATGTTGTGGCTGCAGAAAAACAGCATTGTGGCTAGCAAAAACCAGAGATAGCTTTGCTCATGGGAACTTTGTAACTTCTGCTCTCCAGGCTGGTGTCTGCAATGAACAAGCCACAGGGTGGGTAGTTTGCGTGTTCCAGTCCCACTTGCGGTCTGGAGCAGCTGCGAGTGTTGGGTAGGAGTGATGGAAAAATGACCCAAATAATTCATCCCTGGAAACCCTTGAAATATCCAGCTGAAGGAAAAAAATAGTCACTTACTAATAGAGCTGTTGCCGCTGATGTCACTTGCTCGTGCCAGCAGCACAAGGCAATTAGCACTTCCAAAAACCCCAGCCTTTCCTCAAGGTGTCCTATGAACCTCCCTGAGGAGGCAAAGCCATGCCTGTGCAGCACTGAGCCCCTCTCTGAGGACACTGCCTTGGATTCAGCAGCTGTAAGTGCCAGGGGACCTACATGCTTTACCAGGCTGGTCCACGAGCTGCCCTCAGTGCTTAGAGCATCCGCTCTGTGGTGGTTTCTGTTTGCAAGCTCCGTACACTGTCTGCTAATCCCTAGAGCCCTCTGCTGTCAGAAAGCTTCTGCAGTTTAAGCAGCTGTAAACCAATCTCTCCAAAGCTTTCCTTGTTATTCCTGGAAGAGAGCTGCCTTTTATCACTTTAACATCACCCAGACTGAGGCTCGAGATTTGTTGGAGTACGGAGGAGGGGTAAAAAAGAAGACTTAAATTATTCAAAGAGGAAGATTGCATAGAAGGATGTTACAGCAGCACTGAGTCTTCTTCTAGGAAAGGTGGCGTCAAGGATTAGCACAGGGGTTACTGAGCTTTTGGACTTCTTCAAGTATGTCAAAAAAAAACCCCAATTCTGTGACAGTAGGTTACAAAATACATTCCTCGAGGGGACAGCAATGCAGAGTAGTTTGCTCAGGGAGGGGGGATGGAGGGGTTGCAGATTGTTTTTCCCGCAGGCGGTGGTGATGCCTGATGGCTTGTCTGCTCCCCTGGGGGATACCACTCACTCCATGGAGTAGCATCAGAAGGACCTTTGAGCATGTGTAGGGATACTGTCCCATGCCTGTCACTCCAGGGGATGTGAGTTTGCTCCCAGGTGGGAAGCAGCTGCTTCAGAGTGGCTTCTTTGGGAGATGCTTCTGTTTTTCCTGCAGCAGAAGCAGAGCGCCCCAGGGCTCATTGCCATTCTCCTTACGTTCCCGCGTTGCAAGGACAATCCCTGATGAAGCCCAGCTGCTCTCAGGTCCCACTGCCAAACCCTCCCCGCCAGACCTGTGACCCCTGGGCCTGGGCAAAGGAGGGTCCCTGTGGGACAGGATTGATGCTGAACAGAGGGATGCGAGAGACTGCAGGAGGCGGCTGCGAGTTACAGCAGCTGCCGAGCGGGTGACGGAGCTCCCGGAGCCTTTCCCTCTCCCCATGCCGGTGCCAGGCAGAGCCACGGGGGTGGCAGCGCCTCGCTGCAGACAATGGCCCTTTTGAAGGTCCCTGGCACATCTGGGAGCGCAGAGTCCTCAGCCCTGGGCCCAGCATGGAGCAGGATGCAGCCCGCGCTTCAGAAAGACACAGAGCTGAGCACCCTGACCTACAAAGAGCCTCTGCACATGGGAAGTGGTTTACAGCTGTGCATTTAGCTGCCCAAAATAAAACTTGTCACTAGTAAACATCTGAGCTCTGTGTGCTGCCTCTTCTTTTTCCATAACCAGCTCTGCATCCCTTCCAACTAGCGTCAAGTTCACACCTTGCCACGGAGCAGGGCTCATACCTTCCACAGGCGTTTCCTACACATGCCGGCCTCGGGGGGACTGGCATGGCCAGAGACACTCCTGCAGGGAGCAGGGCCCAGCCAGGGCTGATTGACACAGGAGCTTCAGGAGGTGCAAGAACCAAACATTAGAGCAATCCCCCAGCTGAGGTCATGATAGTGCCTTATTTCTGGCCCTGGAATA